CGGTTACATACATGCATACTTACAGTGGGGCAAAAAAGTATTTAGTCAGCCACCGATTGTGCAAGTTCCCCCACTTAAAATGATGACAGAGGTCAGTAATTTGCACCAGAGGTACACTTCAACTGTGAGAGACAGAATGTGAAAAAAAAATCCATGAATTCACATGGTAGGATTTGTAAAGAATTTATTCGTAAATTAGGGTGGAAAATAAGTATTTGGTCACCTCAAACAAGGAGAATCTCTGGCTCTCACAGACCTGTAACGTCTTCTGTAAGAAGCTTTTCTGTCCCCCACTTGTTACCTGTATGAATGGCACCTGTTTGAACTCATCATCTGTATAAAAGACACCTGTCTACAGCCTCAAACAGTCAGACTCCAAACTCCACCATGGCCAAGACCAAAGAGCTTTCGAAGGACACCAGGAAAAGTATTGTAGACCTGCACCAGACTGGGAAGAGTGAATCTACAATAGGCAAGCAGCTTGGTGTGAAAAAATCAACTGTGGGAGCAATCATCAGAAAATGGAAGACATACAAGACCACTGATAATCTCCCTCGATCTGGGGCTCCACGCAAGATCTCATCCCGTGGGGTCAAAATGATCATGAGAATGGTGAGCAAAGATCCCAGAACCACACGGGGGGACCTGGTGAATGACCTGCAGAGAGCTGGGACCAAAGTAACAAAGGTCACCATCAGTAACACACTACAACGGCAGGGAATCAAATCCCGCAGTGCCAGACGTGTTCCGCTGCTGAAGCCAGTGCATGTCCAGGCCCGTCTGAAGTTTGCCAGAGAGCACATGGATGATACAGCAGAGGATTGGGAGAATGTCATGTGGTCAGATGAAACCAAAGTAGAACTTTTTGGTATAAACTCAACTCGTCGTGTTTGGAGGAAGAAGAATACTGAGTTGCATCCCAAGAACACCATACCTACTGTGAAGCATGGGGGTGGAAACATCATGCTATGGGGCTGTTTTTCTGCCAAGGGGACAGGACAACTGATCCGTGTTAAGGACAGAATGAATGGGGCCATGTATCGTGAGATTTTGAGCCAAAACCTCCTTCCATCAGTGAGAACTTTGAAGATGAAACGAGGCTGGGTCTTCCAACATGACAATGATCCAAAACACACCGCCCGGGCAACAAAGGAGTGGCTCCGTAAGAAGCATTTGAAAGTCCTGGAGTGGCCTAGCCAGTCTCCAGACCTCAACCCCATAGAAAATCTGTGGCGGGAGTTGAAAGTCCGTGTTGCTCGGCGACAGCCCCAAAACATCACTGCTCTCGAGAAGATCTGCATGGAGGAATGGGCCAAAATACCAGCTACTGTGTGTGCAAACCTGGTAAAGACCTATAGTAAACGTTTGACCTCTGTTATTGCCAACAAAGGTTATGTTACAAAGTATTGAGTTGTATTTTTGTTATTGACCAAATACTTATTTTCCACCCTGATTTACGAATAAATTCTTTACAAATCCTACCATGTGGATTCATGGATTTTTTTTTTTTTTCACATTCTGTCTCTCACAGTTGAAGTGTACCTCTGGTGCAAATTACTGACCTCTGTCATCATTTTAGGTGGGGGAACTTGCACAATCGGTGGCTGACTAAATACTTTTTTGCCCCACTGTATGCTATGATTGTTATAGTATGATTGCATTTTCCTCTGTGCAAAATGCTCTTTGTAAAGAACACTATCTAAACCAATATACCACTCCTGTACAACTGATTTACCAGAGTTCGACCAAAAGTACTCAAGTTAGTAACTAACCATCACATCTCTAACAATCATTAACCAGAAGATGTTGGCTCTGGAAGTGGCCTATCCTAAACCAACTGAAACTCTGTACAGTTATACAGTTCTTGTATTGATCCACACCTGTGTGACTAAGGTGTATTCACTCTCAGTTTGCATAATGTATGGATTGCACAAGGATATTGGGGATCTGCCCACCTCTAGCTTGTTTGGAAAGGTGTGGCTGCATTGTCTTTTGTCTGAGTTTGTCCGATTAGCCCATTAGCTGATTAGCTAATGAGCTAATCGTGCTTGTTAGCACTGTACCTTATACGATTTTTTTCCCCCAGTACCATATTTTGCACATTCAAGAACTGATAATGTGCAAAGTTAAATGTGTAAGGGGTTACCTCAGATCAGACCTTCCCAAAGTGTGGGGCCCGCCCCCTAGGGGTGGCGCAGGGCCATTGCAGGGGGGGGTTCGGTATGAAAAGGGGGGAAAAAAAATAATGCTTGGACACTGCTAGCACGGGGCGCCTCCACAGACGCAAAGCAGGAGATGAAGCATCGCTGAATATGTTTCCAAACAAATTTCCTTCCAAGCCAAAGACTAGAAAATATGATGAAGCAAATCTTTTCTTTGGCTTCACCTGCACAAGTGCGGAGGTAGGTCTCCCCTGCAGAATTGGTTTTCCCTTCATTGGGAGCAGCGCTGGGCTCTTCAAATCACGGACAAACAGTATCCCACATTCTTGATTTTTAGTTCACAAACACTTGTTGTAATGACCAACTACTAACTACTCCTGACATGTTGGAGATGTTAGCTCTTTATACAGTAAAGTTACAGTGGGATACAAATAATATCAGGCTGATCCTGCCACGATTTGTCCCCCCGGTTCAAATCACGGACAAACAGTATCCCACAGCTGTTTATGTTTTTGAACCCATTTTGCACAGAGAGGTATTTTTTGAAAAATGTATTGATATGTTGAATATTATTACACAGGAAAAAAACAGCTACACGTAAAATAATGACACCGTGACGCCTCTGCCTTTGTAAATGGAGGGACAGTAACTGCGTGTGTGTATGTAAGCCTGTAAAACCTGAAGATAGTCAGATTAACAGTATTTTGTCTCTATCTGCCATTCTGCAATTCCTCTCATGTAAACAATAACGTGGCGCACAGCTGACGTGAAAAAAGACACATACCTTTGACGTTGTGTGACGAACTCTGTATTCCTCGTCCACACGTAAACGCAGAAAAGGAGTTTTAAAAAAATCTGTTTTCGGTGATTTGAAACGCCGTTTACGTGTGGACGAAACGGCTGCGTTTTCAAAAATACCCGTGTAGGTGCAGACGTAGCGTAAAAGAGTTAGTAGTTTACTTTCTTACTACTGTAATTTATTACAGATTACTTGTATTTATTTAATTGTTTACTAAATGTTTGAGGTGTGAAATAAACCGCAATGGAGCAAAATATGGGCGTGTGTGGTTGGAGGATGTATTGGGGCGTGCGTGGGAGCGGGGGGGGGGAACATTTTTCTTGTAAAACAAAGAGGGGCCCAGCAAAAAAAGTTTGGGAACTACTGCCTCAGATATTTAAGACTGCCAGATTTTTATTACATGTGTTAGAAAACACATTGCTGGTGTCTAACCAGAGTTTTCTAATGATTAATGTGTATCAAAGCATGTCTTCACTGATCTAGACCCCTTTTCTGGAGTTATTTTTCCTGCCCTGTCTTCACGTCACACATCAAAAGGACCTCTTTAAAAAATAACTGAAAACTGCAATCATGACACCAAACTAACTGTCATAACTTTAAAAGTTGTTATCTCACATAGACCAAACTCTGTCATAACAGTCTAAACACAGCGACAGCCCCGTTGTGGTACTAATTTCATCATGTTCATGTTCACTCGACACTGGTTGCTAAATTCTAGCATCTCTCCTCTGTCGCTTGTGATGTTGCTACATGCATGTGCTAACCTGCATATGCTTTATCAAACTTGGTGCCTTGTTTTGTCTACTTGTTAGCTACTTGGTCTCAGCAGACAGCCCTTTTCAACACCGTTAAACTTCAAACAAATGCTAATTTGGCTTTTTCTCAGAGGCTGTCGAATATGCTCAATGAGACTCGAGGTCTAGCCAGAGGGAGGCTGGAGTTTTCAAAGATGATGCCAGAAATAAATCCGGGTGTAATTCAAAGCAAAAAAAACCAAACTCTTGCTAATCCACATTTAAAGCTGTAAATAAAGAGGTAGAACACTATGTAAAATCAGTCATTATGATGTTTTTATAACCAAAAAGTCAGAAAATAAAATGTGTTTCCTAGACCAGAACTTACAGATTTAAGAGAGATTTCTGTCTTCTATTAGGAGATTAGGAGTGTAAATAAGCCTTAAAGTGACATATTAATGACTTTCCAAATGTAGCCACTGTTTTCTTAAAAATAATTCATCATCCTTGTAAGAGGGAAGCAGTTAAGCATAAAAGAATGTGTTTTTCAGGATGAAACAAAATCTACCCACTGTTTACTTTGTATACTCTTCTTTTTCCCCCCCTATTGTTCTATATGGTAGGAGTGATTTTGAATAACAGGCTAGTTCACTACAGCCATTATTCTGATTCATGAGTACATTAATTGCAACTATGTGTCTTTACCAGTACCACTTCATACCTGAAGCGATGCATCTACAAGTACATGAATATGTAGATTTTCTGTTTAGCGGGTATGCAAGAAGTAACTGATGTGAATAAATGGTGGGTTAAACAAAAGGAACCCAAAAGGTCAGGCAGAAATCCTATGACTTATTTACTAGCAGTAGGTCTTTGCAGATTTTGCAGGAAATGCGGGACGCCGTGACTTAAGAACTCAACAAATTGCAGGATTGACTTGATGTTGACCTGGCATACTGCAGGTGTGAAAGTGCTTATTTGTAACTGCTGTAGTGTTGGTTTTACACTTCCTTTCTCCGCAGCCAGAGACACAAAAATAACCCCCACACCCATAGCACTTAAAACCCTGACTAAAATCTAATGGGCCAAGAATCTATAATATTGCGTTAGTAAGTCACAGATTTTTCAAAGCAGTTGTGACTTTTTAATATTAACACCTGATTTTTATAAAGATAAAATGTTTTTTTTTTTGTGTGTGTGTGTGTGTGTGTGTATATGGTTGCTGATGGATATCCATTTCAAAAATGGCTAATACATCCCAGACTGCACAATAATCTTTGACCTGTTTTACACTTCTGTCTTCAGCTGGACCTCAGCCAGCCTCTAGAGGACCATGGACCCCTGGATGTCATCATCCACAAACTGACTGACCTTATCCTTGAGGCTGACCAGAATGATTCACAGGCTGTACTGTTGGTACAAAGAGTACAGGTATGCATCGGTCTGTCTTCCTGCTTATCCCTCCCTCCTCCCCATGTATTCACAAATAGAAAAACCAAAATTTAGGAGAGGACAAGGCCTAGAGAATGCTATTCACACTTTTGGCCTGTTCATTTGGACACACAACAATCTAAAGAAAATAGATACACACACACACACACACACATTAAGAAAAATGAATACACTGTATGTGTGGGAAACCGTCTAAGTTCATCCTTAACCTTGGGAATGGTAATAGTGTAGGTGCCATAATGAATAATCTCTACTAATAGATGGATAACAAATACTCCAACTTATTATTCATCCATCAATTTTATGTTTTATTAAATATCAAACAGGTCCAATCTAAGTTGTAAAATTGTTTAATACTTATTCTTTGTCTTGATTTCATAGATCCATATCTAGATGAAGCTATTATTGAAGCAATTGCATGGCTAATATTAATATTTATTGTTCTATTTTGGCTGTTAAATAACCAAAAAATAATTTGTTACTCAAAATATTTGACACAGAATTTCACAGGTTATGCAGCCTACATTCAATATTGAGATTAACTGGTCTTTAAAAAGCTTTTTTTTTTCTTTTTTTTTTAATGTCGCAAATGCAGAAAAGTCTTGCGACACTGATTGGCTTTGACTGATTGGTTTTGACTGCAGCCCTAGTACCGGCAATAAACATTTATGGGTGACCGAGTTTTACATTTACGATTGTAAATGACCCAGTTCAAGGAATCAGGTAATGTGTTCAAAGAATCAGCCAGGCAGATCACAGGAACATACATGCATTAGCAGCTATATTTGAGCACGTGGTCACTCATAAATCCTTAATGTTATCTCTGAAACTTTTTTTTGTTCTTCCTGAACTAAGAAAAATCTCATGTTCAACGCATCAAATTTGGAGCTGAAAACCTACTTTAGAAACATGCTGTTCTTCTCTGTGTATGCATTCATTAATCTGGCAGTGGTACAGATGGTGTGAAAATGAATTTTATTAAACTATCTTGCACTATGCCTCCGTCTCTCTCTTAGTGACTCAGGAGCTGTAATCGTGATCAGAGTCACGCAATTCTGTCACCATGTCCCTGACTGCTCAATTAAGAAGGGCAAACAGGATGTGAGAGTGGAGCAATCGCTGACATCCTGCAGAACCTGGTCGATATTAGCACAGGCCTGCATTTGATGCTTGACAGTGTACATATAGACTTGTTATTTAGTGAGTTACGTATGATAAAAAGCGCTCTAGATTCCTGTGGATGTGCAAACCAATGCAATTTTTGACTTACATTTTCACATCTTGTCAATTTCCAGAAGCAAGGCATGGATTTGCTCCTTTGTCTTTAAAAGTTCAATCAAAGCAAAAACTTCTTAGCTGCCTAATACCATGTACTGAGCAAAATGTGGCTGGTTTTCATCAAGCTGAAACCCTCAAGGGCTCAGAAAGAAAACTAAAACTGTAGCTCATACAGTGGCCACTTGAGACTGACTCCAAATGTAAGCCATTCTGCAGAGCTAAAAAGCATATCTGCAGTTTTATACAAAAATTCGACACTCACTTTATAATATTATTGCAATTTTCAAGTTTTTGCAGAATAATGAATGTTGCTTCAAGTTGTGCTCATTGACAGCATTAATATGTTGACAGCAACATATTAATAGGACAACATCATGTTGTCCTATTAAGATAATAGATTAGCCATTAGCTTGCTCCGAATTAGGAGTCACGCTAAGTATGTCCAGTGTTGGATGGTTTTAAAATTATTATTAGGTTTCCCCCAAACATAACAAAAATATTGTGGCTCCCTGTGGATAATTGGTGACCCTTTCATAAGTTCTCTGAAGGCTTTTTATTTATTTAAATATATAATTCATCCTTTTGCTAAAGCTTAGAGATTTTGTCACTTTGATTTACCACTACTGTTAGCTGTAGCCGTCTGGCAGCCCTCTTAATCATCATTCATCTTAATGCATACCCTATGCTTAGTAGTGTTCATATCATTATTTACTAAATAAAATTGAACTGTGCACATTCGAATGAGTCGTTTAGATTGAGACGGGAATTTTTCTGTATTTTTTGCGTTGCCTTAATGTTTATTCAGTCAGCCAGTTGATCTTCAAGCTAAAGGTCTCCTCTCAGTTGGCTGTACGAATTACAAAGAAATGTCATCCTGTAAGCATCGATAACATCTTTGTAGGGTTTTTTTCAGTTCAGAGGAAGTGTGTGTGTTTTGTGTTTTATTACAGTATTTTCTTCCTTTTAGTCAGTACTCAAACTTTACCACTGTAGTTAGTGGTTGACTTTAATATCAGCGGGTAAATCAGCAGCCAAGTCTTGTGGCTGAGTCTTCTCCTCTTTTGTTCTGCGTGTTTACCTGAACACAACTGTCATCTGTGATTACATTTCCACTGGAAATATATGTGTTGGCGTAATTCTAATGTTACACAGCTGTGATCATAAATAACCCGGTTGTGTCGTGGAGAGAATAAACCGTCATCTCTAAAATAGCTCTTTATGAAAACAAAATGTCGTCCTGAGATGCACTCTGGTGATTCAGTGGCCCTAGGTGCAAGCTGTGTTCGCAGTAAACCTTGGACAAATATCATTTGCGTTCTCCAACTAAACTGCGAAGATAAAATGGCATTTGTAGCTAATTACCAGGCGCTTTTATCTGTTGTAGATTTTCTTTTTTTCATTTACCTCGCTGACAAATGGGTGTAGATCGCTACAGTCGTAATTTAGGTCTTCCGGGCTTCTCTGTACTTGACATCTTATGTAAGCTGAACTGATGTGGTAAATCGCACCCATCTGGTTGTAGTTGTGGCTAATACAAATGCTAAAAATAATGTATCGCTTCAGGTTTGACAACTGTGGCATCACAGACATGGCTTACAATCAGCAGGACAGATTAGATGCTCTTCTGACCATATTCCCAAAGACAAACCCATTTATTCTTCTCTGGAAACGGATCTGCTCTGAAATGCGAACAGCCCTCTCTTACACCCACGCTGACATACGTCTGGCTCTTTTCCTCTCCAGCACCTGCTAAAAAGCGTTGATCTCTTTCTCAACTCCCCCTCTTGTCTCTGTTTAACTGCATTTCTTCTTCTGAGATGCAGAATTCAGCAAGTGACTGTCCCTATCACAGAGTATTCCTCTGAACTCCTGGAAGATTAGTTTGGATTTATTTATTTATTATTTATTTTTTCCGTGGCAGCATATTTTACTTACATAACAGGTCGACTGGCTTTGATTAGCGTTGCCTGTTAGATCCCAGCAAATCCTGCAGATGGGTCCTCCATGTCAAGGCAAAGGCGTCGGTTTACATTCTTTGTGCTATAGCGTGTGTGTGTGTGTGTGTGCTGAGACTCTGTTCAAAAATAGACATTTATTTCCACTGTACATGTGCTTGATGTTTAATATTGCACGATGTGTTTAATTTCATGTTAAATGTGTGTGACAGCGGAGTTGCGATGTGAGCAGGCGGGCTGTTTGTGTAATGTGTAGGCCAGCCAGCTCCACCTGACAGCGTTTGTGACTCAGTTTGAAATCGCTCGGAATGAACTCTTGGCAAAGGGATCCATGTAGCCGAAAATCAAGTGTGGAGATGATGGAGAGCGGCCGAGAACAGAGAGGTGGTGTGAGGACTGAGTCGGAGGAAAGCCGGGAAGGCGAGAGAAGAGAAGGGGACTGCAGTTATGTAAAATGGCCAGCCTCATGCTGATCTAACAGCAGGGCATGCAGAGATGCAGTGATGTAACCTATAAAGACCCGCTGGCATACATCTCATGCTCTCTCTAGCTTGCACACAAAAACAGATTGAGGCATGTTGACCCTTCAACTCAGTGTTTGGATTTGTCTACGTGATTATGTTTGTTTAACATTTCGTGTGTGTGTCTGTGTCTGTGTGTGTGTGTCGTGGCAGATGGTTGCCCTTTTAGCACATTAGTTACGTTTAAAAAAATAAATAAATAAATAAATAAAAGCCACAAACATTTCCATTAGTAAGTCATCAGTTATTTTTCCAAAAAGTCGGTTTATTTACACAGAATAAGAAGTTTTGGGAAATCATAGCCAGGATATCTGGATTCAGATATCCAATAATGGCAATTTTCTTTTTAAGTCATGGCCTTTGACCATAGTTATGTTACTGTAAGCAATACAAAACCTGTTTAGTCATGATGCAGAGAACTGCATCTGTGTGGACATACAGCGGGGAAAATGAGTATTTGACACATCAGCATTTTTATCAGTAAGGGGATTTCCAAGTGGACTATTGACACAACATTTCCACCAGATGTTGCCATCAAGCCAAATATTGAAGTCATACAATCAAATCAGAACATATAAGTATACAAGTTAAACCATAATAAATAAAGTGAAATGACACAGGGAATAAGTATTGAACACACTTTATTCAATACTTTGTAGAAAAGCCTTTGTTGGTGATTACAGCTTCTAGACGCCTCTTGTATGGATAGACCAGTCGTCTGCATTGCTCAGGAGTGATTCTGGCCCATTCTTCCACACAAACGGTCTTTAAATCTTGAAGGTTCCTTGGGCCTCTTTTATGAACTTTAATCTTCAGTTCTCTCCATAGATTTTCTATGGGATTTAGGTCAGGTGATTGACTGGGCCATTCAAGCAACTTGATTTTCTTTCTTTGAAACCACTTCATTGTTTCCTTGGCCTTGTGTTTGGGATCATTGTCTTGCTGAAATGTCCACCCTCTTTTCATTTTTAGCTTCCTGGTAGATGGCAGCAGATTTTTATCCAGAATGTCCCGGTACATCTCTCCATTCATCCTGCCTTCAATAATATGAAGTCTGCCAGTACCCCTTGCTGAAAAGCAGCCCCAAACCATGATGCTTCCACCCCCAAACTTGACTGTTGGTATGGTGTTCTTGGGGTGGTGAGCAGTGCCATTTCTTCTCCAAACATGGTGTGTAGAATGACTGCCAAAAAGTTCAATTTTGCTTTCATCTGACCATACTATAGTCGTCCAATAATCCACAGGCTTCTCCAAATGCTGTTGCGCAAATTTTAACTGAGCCTTGACATGCTTTTTGTTCAGCAATGGAGTCTTGCGTGGTGAGCGTGCATGGATGCCATGGCGGTTCAGTGCATTGCTTATAGTTTTCTTTGAAACAACAGTACCTGCTGATGCAAGGTCTTCCTGAAGTTCTGTCCGAGTGGTTCTTGGCTCTTGGAGAACCCTCCTGATTATTCTTTGGACTCCTCGGACAGGGATCTTGCGTGGAGCACCTGATCGTGGCAGGTTTATGGTGAACTGATGCACTTTCCATTTCCGGATAATGGCCCCCACAGTGCTCACAGGAACATTCAGCATTCTGGAAATGCACCTATAACCATTCCCATCAAAATGCTTTTCAACGATAAGATTACGAAGATCTTGAGAGAGTTCTTTGCTTTTACCCATCATGAAGTCTTTCCTGTGTGCCTTCTGGGTAATGAGGAGCCTTTATAGGCCATCAATTAGGACTAAAGCAGCTGATATCAATTGGTACTGATAGGGGACAGGATTTCTCTATCAATACTGACAGATTTCAGGTGATCTCCTGGCTTTCTATGTCATTTTGCCCCTTGTTATCTCCATGTATTCAATACTTATTCCCTGTGTCATTTCACTTTATTTATTGTGGTTTAACTTGTATACTTATATGTTCTGATTTGTTTGTATGACGTCAATATTTGGCTTGATGGCAACATCTGGTGGAAATGTTGTGTCAATGGTCCACTTGGAAATCCCCTTACTGATAAAAATGCTGATGTGTCAAATACTTATTTTCCCCGCTGTACATGAAAAATAACATTTATAATAATGGTAAATGCTCTCTGAATGTAAAAATTAAGAGGTTTGTAAATCTGTGTTTCAAGGACTACATTGATGCCCATCCTGAAACTATCATCCTGGATCCACTTCCAGCTATCCGAACTCTGCTGGATCGCTGCAAATCCTACCAGCTCATCCACAGATTAGAAAGCTGTATGCGAGGTAAGGTCTTGTCGGTAACTTCGTGAGACTAACTGGTGTGAGGCTCAGTTGCATTGGAGAAATTTTGGAACAAATCAGCGTATTTCACTGAAGGAGAGGATTTGCTCACTAATTAAAACCTGTACTCACACTTTAGACACTGTCACTAACACCTGGTAGTTGTTGGGGTTTTTTGGGAGGTTTTTTGTACCCGATTATAATATATACAATAAAACATACTTGTCATAAAAATATATTCAAGTACAACAGTACATGACAAATTGAGGTACTTTTCTCGTATGTCTCCTATACAACATCTCATAAAGTGAAAGAAGTATCACTGGGGAGAGCTCATAAAAACGCACTAACATTAGTGATAAATTAGGAAATGGATGATGGGTAAAAAAATCAAATCAAATGAATAACAAAGCTGGGAACCATTCCTGTAACATGTGAGCCTTGTCCAGTGAAGACACGGTCTCCCTGCATCACTGAGCACTGTGGGAGAAATAAACAAAAAGACACAACCACTAAGTGAGATTTATGAAAATCACCCAACATTAGTGTTTTAGGGTTAACTTTTCACAGAAGACAGATAGTTGGGCGATGTGTTCTGTTCTTTGAGTGAACTGAATGTCCTGCTTTGTATAAACCGTTCGCCATTAAAGATTCAGCTTTGTTCTCGGGCGACTGTGAGATAAGTGGATGGCTAGCACCATTAGTGTCTCTGTTCCTAGCTCGCTATGTGAAAACAGAAGCTGTCTAAAAATAGGCTTTGATTTTGATTTAAAAGCCACGGCCTTCTGTTTAATGTTATTGAGAGGGAAGTTGAGGTTACCTTTAGGACCTCTGACTGTGCTCTTCACATCCCAGGGAAGGGGGAGCAGAGAGGCGCTGTAGCTTCTCACTTGAACTGTGTTACTTTAAGTGTTCGCATTTATATTTACATAAACATGAGCTGAGCACTTTGCTGATATCATAGTTCCTCCTTTCTATTTCTCTCTGCTTTATCGTAGCATGATCAGAACTTGCCTTCAGGTCACTCGAGCAACACCTTCCCCTGTCACTGATCAAGTAAACTTACCAGCAGACGATGGCTTTTAGCTACAGAGGGACATTCCCTACTGACACACACTGTAAGCACACCTGTGACTCATCCACATTTCCTTTAAACCCATACATGGCAGGAGAAAATAAACCTTTATAATTATGATCTCACCAAGTTTGTGTGTGATGAGCTGCAGTCTGATGTCAGAGCAAAGACTCAGAGCTGTATCAGCATGTCGGTGCTTTCCTAAAATAGAAATACGAGAAGACGATGTCTTTTTTATCCAAACAGACACGATTGCTGTTACGCAACAGCGAGTTTAAGATGCATCACTCCGCCTCACTGTGTGTGATCGGTTTGAAGAGGAAGATGCTTCACTAGCTGCATTTTACAAAGCTCTTTTTTTTCCTTTCACCATTCTACTTCCATTAATGTAAGTGGTGCTGTCTGCTCACAGTTAGGCCTGCATGCCAAGGCATCCATGACAATTTAGTCATTTTAGAAGCAATGATACAGTAAACCTGTTGTAATACTAGACTGTAGACTATCAGCATACGCCCCAAGTTAAAGAAGAGGATAGTGTAAGAGATTTTAGGGTTTGGGGTTTTTCTTTTCTTTTCTTTTTTTCTTCTTCGTCTTCCTTTTTTTTTTTTTTTTTTCTTCTTCTTCTTCTTCTTGAGCCTTGCTTTCCTAGGCACAGCCTCTTCCTCCTCCTTATCAGCAGAGACCATGGAGTCCTGAAGCAGCTGCCAAGGCAACCAAGTACTTAAAGACCATAGAGAGCCGGCCATGTTTCAGTCTGTATGACTCAGAATAGTACTCAATAGGAGGAAACACTTGAGGTGCGCTTGTGGAAAAGCAAACCTTATTTTGTCACTCGAGTGGCCTCTCAGTATTAAATGGCCTCAGTCACAGTGCATTTAGCTGTTCTTCTCCAAACTGTTTAAATGAAAATAAAATTAAGTGCAAGATTTAGCTCGTCCTAATGCTGTGTTTAATGTAAAGCAGCCAGAAAAGAGCCACACGAGCACTAATGGATCAGCGTCACTGGAAATTTGGCTCCGATCTGTTGTCAGAGTTGCTTTGTGTTTCCTATGTGAGCCAGACCAAGGTAACTGTTTATGTTACTTAGTGGAATCTGCTGGTTCCTGTGTATACACGAGTTTTTGATATCTTAGTCTGTTTTTTATAGACAGAAACCGTTGTCACACCAACTCTTAGTCTTAAACATTTTCCTCTCAAGATAACAGAAATTAAACTGAAACTATTTATACAACAATCCAGTTGTGCTCCCCGTGCTGCAGTATTATTCTGTCTCTGTGAGGACCAGCAGAGCCAGTTTATGCAAGTGATCAATATTTAATTATAGATATTTCTGTGAATGACAATGAGAAACAGTTGTGAGCTCAAAGAGTGCCACCTTGAGTTTCTGCCTGTCAGGTTCACCTGCCCTACTGTGCTTTGATCGTCATTACATAATACCTGGATTTGCATGTTGTGGGAAAACAATCACATTTTCCTTTTTTCTTTCTTTTTTTTTTCCATAAATGACTCATAATTTTAATCGGAGCGTAAGCCTCTTAGAGCACGACATTGAGACAAGCAATGCTCTCGGGGCATAGCCGTGTTTCCAGTTCAATTTAGAATATTAAAAAATCCTGCTGCTTTGCTTTGGAGGGACAAGAAGAGAGCAGCAAAGAGAGGATGCTCGGGTTTCTAGGAAAAAAGCTCTAAATAGCAACAAGAGAGTCTAGCCTTTCACTTAAACAGCACCACAGTTTAGCAAGTATAATGAAACTTGGCTCTCTGTAGTTCCCTACACCTAAATCCCCAAACAAGAGAATAGTGTCGTCTGAGTTTAAGTGTTAAAACAGGCCTTTTGATTATTTTCTTTCCTCTTGAGTGACCGGTTAAGGCCTATGCATTTGGAGTTTATTTGACTGTGTGTTTATGTTGTAATCTAGTGGACGAATGACTTAATATAAGGGATGTCCTGATCCTGAAGACTTCGTAACTGTATAATCCCACTTTAAAAAGTACCTCATTGTCCATTGTAGAGGCCCATAAAGACTGTCCTCGGCTCCGTTGGGTCTGCTGCAAGCATGTAATGTTTAGACAGAGCCAGAGATTGATCCTCCCCTCCACCTCCTTCCCCCCTAAAGTGTCAGCCAGAGCCAAGCATGCACACTGTTACAAACTTGGCTACTCACTCGTGTCCACCAGTCTCTGCTCTTTTTATTATAAAACCTGAACTTGGAGCTTGAATTTCTTTTCTCATTTGACAAGGCTCGGGGCTTTTGATGGTTTTTGTTTAGCCAAATGTAACACTATCAATCTTTGGGAACTCAGTGACGTAATGGGCATGTTTTTACATCAGGCTTTTCTTTTTATTATGATGCTGTTCTTGACCTGATAAAATAACATCACTAAAAGGGAACACAGTTGTAGGCAGTGCACAGATGACTCATGGGTAACCCTCCAGGCTTGCTCCCAGCACTGGCGGGTATGAAGCCAGCCCTGGAATGGTCCCAGCTTCACAGGCAAAGGTCGTAGTGCACAGAACAAGAGAACAGGAGTATTGAAGCAACCAAAAATAAACCCTTTGTGGTTAAGTCTTTCTAAATAACCAGATTTATTTTCTTTGGACATAAAAATCAAACGCATTCCTGAAAATTAGTTTTCTAAATAGTGTGGAAACACATGTTTGCCAGCAGCAGAGCAGGGGAAGGTTTAATGTCTTTTTCTCTGACCCATCACGAGATGGAGGTACCTAAAGGATTTTCCTGGGTTATTAAGACATTATTTTCACAGCTGTAGCTAACATTTCACCAGAATCACCGCTGCATGTGATAAAACTGTCATAGGATCAGACTGGTAGAGCCTGGCTATGTAAATCACTTTATTTCAAGGTAGAGTTATTGCACTTGAAATGTCAGCACTATAAAGAAAAAACATTTAAAGAAAAACTGCTTGCAAAAATTCAGCAGTTTAAAGTTGCAGCAACATAATCTCAGTCTTAACTGAAATGTGTGTTTACAATATTAGTTTTGTACAGTAAGATTAAGGTTATTTCATCATTTTCTTTGGCTAAAGAAGCTACTGTATATAGTAACATAAATGCCTGTATGCATGAAATGAAAAATTATACAGTTATCGTGTTTATAGACTACACTGAATCTCTTACAATCTCTTATTTTAGCTACAATTGTATGATTTTAATTGTTGCCTGTTATTTTTCTGTGAAATAACAGTATAAGAGGATCCTTAACACCAAGCATCTTTATATGCTTCGTTATCACCTCGCACAGCAACAGTTGATATAACACCTCTGCACCAGCACCATTATGTTTTAGGTTTATCCCCATATCAGTTTCTTTTCATCTCAATCAACTGGGTCGGGGCTCTTGAATGTCAATGTCAGTGGTTTAAAAGTCAGCGTGACCTCTCAATAGCATTACTGCTATGCTCCTAATAATGAAATATCCCAAAAATGGATAACGGAATAAAATGATAAATTGTCGTTTATTTCCAAAAGGTCAAAGGTCAAATCTGGACAGACATACACTAGGAATTTGGAAAATATACAGACCTGATTCTCCTGAAATTATTCATGAGTAGCTCAGAGCTGGGGATGCTCTCCTTCAGTTTGCACATCTGGGAACTTCTGTAGCTTTAAGTTGAGTAGATGCTCGTAGTGAGTGTACCAGAATATTAGCCCAACGTCACATGAGCTCTGTACTGGGGGGAGCCAAACCAGCTGTGGACATTTTTGTTCGCACATGCACCTCTGTTGGTTTGTTTTTGTCTTTTTATTGAAAGAACTGTTGATGGTAGGTGAAAGCATAGAACATCAATATGATAATTCTGCTTCCAACAACTTCATTTAAGTTGTTTCTGTGGTTCCTTTTGGCCACTTGTACATGGTTTCTGTAAAACTCTGACTGCACCCAGAGTTCAGCACTCTGCACTGGACTTAATTTAAGCAAATGAGATTCTCCTGACCTCAGCACTAGCATCAGCTGAGAGCCCTGCCACTGCTGAGGCCCACGGCACACAAAGACTGGCATGTTTCTATTGTGTTTTGGTCATTAACATTTTGCCAGCTGTTGTTTTGGCCCAGCCAATGATTTCCTGTGGCGTTATCTCCAACCCATCCGCCTTATCGCCCCCATATACCTACTGCGGAGGGGAAATTACAGAATACAAAACATTAATATAGATGCATCCCCAGTCCTGATATGGTGCCGCTTGTCAAAGCTGCAGGATGTTTTTAAAATTTTTTAGTCTTATCAGAACTGACCAACTTGCTGCTGCAGGATGTGATGAAAAAAAATACTTGTAAACAGACAAAAAATATAGAGATGGGTGAAAAAGAAGCAGAATTTCTGTGGTTAATACTGGAGAATTTTAAAGACATTGTAACTGCAAGTGTGTTTGTTGTGAAATGTCAGGCCTGTGAGTCCATCAGGTGACGTGCCCGATGACTCTGCGTGTCCTCAGCTGGTTTATCCTTAGTTCCTCATTAAATTGGATGCTTTCCTATATTTCATCATTGTATTTGTGTGGGTTTTTGTGGTGACCTGAACTTAGATATTTTATGGACATAAAAGAAGTATTTTGGACATGAGAAGGGATGGTGGATTTATTGAACAAAGGATGTTGAAGATGGATGTCACAGAGAGGATTCATGGATGTAGTGAAGGACAGAAGTGACATGACAGAAGACTGTACTAGGAATAGGAAGTAATGAGTCACTGCTGTGATCCCTAAAGGGATCAACAACAAAAAGGTGGTGGTTAAGGTTAAGCAAGTAGTCGCTATGATTAATTTAACGTATGTGTTTGTAAGGAGCAGAAGGACAGTACCAGATGGCCTCTGCTGTGTTTCTTGTGTAAACACATCACAGGGATGAGTTATAAAAATAACTTTTTGACCTAGTACTACAGGTCATAGCATATGACTGTTAGCCATGTGAGTTGCTGAAACGTTATGTTGAAACTGTATGTTAAAGCTAAAACTGCAGAAGAAAATGAGTTTGATGTCTTAAATCTTCCAAATTTGAACTGTGGATTAAACAAAGCAATAACTTTTATAAGTTTCTGTAGTGAAAATAACCAAGAGTACACATCTCCTGAGCATTAATATAGTCTTTCACCTTTTTCTCTTATTAATTAATTAATTAATTTTTTAAATATATAGATGAGAGGATTTGCTCTCCTCCATTCATGGTCCTCAACACTGAGTGCAGCCCAGACGTGCTGGAGCAAATCAAGAGGCAAGGACTCTCATTCCCCTTCGGTGAGTAGCTCCGCTGTTGTCATCTTAATTCCTTCTACTCACCACACTTTTTTTTTTTTTTTTTTAAAAACCTGTTGCCATGTTTCTTCGTTCATCATCATCTCAAATATAACAAAAAAATTTAAGGGTTTGTGCTCTGCTGTAAACTCTGCGCTTTTCTTTGTCTTCATTTCTTCCACAGTTTGCAAAACACGGGTGGCTCATGGCACCAACTCCCATGAGGTAAGAGGCCCGCAGGATTCAGAGGTCACTCACACCCTCAAAAGTTTGCTTTAGCTAATACCTGTTCTGTTAGAGGATTGTCATTTAACTCTAGTCCAAACAGCAAAATCTGATAGTGTTATACCTCATGTAGGTATAACACTGTGGAGGCATTAAGTCTATTTGGCTAGCTTGCCAGGAGTGTCAATTTCAGCGGCACAAGCAGCACTGAATGAAGTTAGATTTTAACCTGCCTCTAACTGCTGATTGACCTCAATGTTTCCTGTCAAGTTCTTTGTCATTTATTGTGTGGCCTCCTGCCCACAGATGGCCATTATCTTCAGTGAAGAGGACCTGAAGGATGTGAAGCCTCCTTGTGTGATTCAGAGTTTCATCAACCATAACGCAGTGCTTTACAAAGTGTTCGTGGTGGGAGACTCCTACACTGTAGTGGAGAGACCTTCCCTTAAGAACTTCCCTGCTGGACCTGCAGGTAAGGTTAAGAACGGACACACAGTGAGAGGGAGAGTGACAGGTGGGGAAGTCCGAGCGCTGCTTACAGGCACACTGGTCAGTCTGTGCAATCTGCACAGCTTCTCCAAATTACCCAATAAAAGAGCTCATAAAATGGCTTTATGGTCCCTGTGATTGGACCTGTTCGCCCTTTTAAGGGGTGCAGCAGAGTGCAATTGAGTTATACCCTGTTGGTACATGTTGTCAAAACTAGACAAGAGCAGCAGTGTTTTTCTCCATAAACATGTCAAAAGCTTTACCCATGACGTGTCTTTGAATAAAGGGTTATCCCCAGACACAAACGACTCCAGTATTTGCATGTGATACAGCAGAGGCCCACATGCAAATCATTTTTGCCGACAGCGTAGTCGTCCGCTTTGTGTAACCATGCAGACAGGATGGCTGGTTTCAGCCTGGAATGCTGGTACAACAGAAAAGCTCACCACAGCACAGCAATACACCTGCACAGCGCTTAGGTCATTGTCCCCCACAGCCTGAAGCTATGCATTATGTTTTGTACCTAGAAAGTGATGGAAAGGGTGCTTTGAAAGGTTGAAGTATGGGTTAGTGTTTGGAAAGTGAGAGATGGGCTGTCCTAGTCAGCCTTCCTTCTTAAAGTGAAGCTTTGCCCATCAAGCCAGGGAATGAATGAGCCAATCCGCCGAACATTTCATTACCGCGACCTTCGCCGTGCCGAAGGGCAGATTTATTTGGACAGTTTCCCTCCACTCCTTTCTCTCGAACACTGATTCATGTTAATCATTACAAGTTAGAAATCAGAGAAAACGTAGGTAAAAATGTTGTGATACATTCCTGTCACATTTATCAAAGAAAATTCCTCACCCGAGCCCAATGAGTAACCTATTGATGTAAACATATGGACAGTGTTGGGAAGGTTACTTTTAAAATGTATTCCATTACAGATTACAGAATACATGCCCCAAAATGTATTCTGTAACGTATTCCGTTACGTTACTCAATGACAGTAACGTATTCTGGATACTTTGGATTACTTAATATATTATCATGCTTTTTACAACAACGTGAATGTACTGTTGCTGTGTGATTTATTACTATTACTGAAGGTCCGCGACTCCAAACTGTAGTAAAGGGACCTCTGACTAATACGGCGGGGTCCCTGTCGGCTCGTAGCCGAAAAATAGCTTTACTTTGTTGTGTGGGTCAACTTTTCTTGCGAGAGACAGAGAGAGGCGTTGAAAGGCTGCTCCAACGGAACTTATTGTTTTCGGAGGAGAACACGGTGTACAGTCGAGTCTTAATAGCTTACTTACAACTGGGCTCGTCAGGCACTCTTCTTGGCTGCAGTGGTTATTGTTATATTTACATGCTTCCAGCTCCCGTTTTTCCTCGACGGCAACTCATACCTTTCCACTCCCCTTTTTCTCCCTCCTCGCGCTCACAGACACATAACGTGTGTGGCAGTCCATTCTCCCTGCAACACGGACTACACTGCCCATGATGCTACATTCTTTAGAGCTATGCTTGTAGCATTCTGCCTGTTAGCTTAGCACAACAACAACAACAACGAAAAGGCGCTCTCTCACCCAGGAAACACACAGTTGCAGAGAGCGAGAGAGCGTCGCCCTGTAACCATGGCAACCGTAACCCTGCCGCCTGGAACAACAGAACGTAGCTGTCAAACAAAACCCAAACAGTCCTGACCCGCGACAAGATGAAACAGGAAAGTACCGCCATGTAATCCATTTATTTCAACAAAGTAACTGTATTCTGAATACCACCTTTTTAAACGGTAACTGTAACGGAATACAGTTACTCATATTTTGTATTCTAAATACGTAACGGCGGTACATGTATTCCGTTACTCCCCAACACTGCATATGGAACACTCAACACATTGTAGGTATGACTGAGAGACTTGTCTTGAGAGCTTAAAAAATGGCCAACTGCAGTTCTTTAGGGTTCACCTCTCATCCAAGAGGCTTCTTCAGTTCTAAAAACAAATCATGCACAGTCCTGGGCATTTTACTCCTAGTGGAGGTTGTCCCGTTTGAAAGTGGTCCATTCACAGTGCATGTAAACTGCCTCCTTTACTGCTCTTTCAAACCATCTTTGTTCAAAACAAAGTGAATACTGGGATCCTCGACAGTATTGTTGATCCTTTAGGTGCAGGTGTACAGCCGAGTCTTGTTCTGCTGAGGTGGCTGGGCTATGCATTTATGAAGTGGCTGTTTGGTTTATCCTTTGTGGAGGTCTGAGCACGCCAGGATATGATGTTGTCTTCAGCTCACAGACTCGACCTGGATGACTTGAAAACTTTTTAAGATGAAAAAGATTTACATCAGTGTGGTTTAGTTACATTCTTTTTTGGGGGGTTTGTTTGTTTTTTAAATACCAGGTATTCAAATTTAGAAAACATGAGTTTTACTTACTAAAGGCCATGGTTGAACTGTGGCGCCACCTAGTGCAGATGATGGAAAATCTAGACAGCTGCACCGTGACACCAGGACTGCAGTCAAATAGGAACTTTCCAATGAAAAAAGACTGAGTGAAGTCACCCAGAAGCATTTGCATGGCAGCCTTAATAAGATGTGTTTAAAGTATCTAAATACTAAGAAAAGGTCCTTCGGTCTGGTGTATCCTCTATTGAGAAAATTCAAAACAACATACTGTCAGAGGGTTCATGGAAATAAGCAAACAGTATAACTGGCAGGCAAGGTTGTTCATTTTTAAAATAATTAATAATTTGCTTCCACTTCATGCCCTAACCTGCTGATATTTTTTAATTTGAATAACAGACTGGTAAACCCACAGCTGATGTCTGACATGAGGCTGCAGGAATAAAGCCGCCTTGTTCTGAAGTTGTTTTCTTGCATAAACAGTCTGTTTAGTTCAGGATCATGAGCTACATATTAAACTGATTGTTTGCATTGGTTACAGTTCCTCAGGCTAAGTACTGCTGTTTTGCAGCCTTTATGATTATCAATAATTAATCCTACCTTTAGTCACAGATATTGAAAGCCTTAAAAAATGTAGAAGTCACTGTGGGGACAGGAAGAGAAGATGTATAATTGGACATGATGAGGAACTAATCTCAACGGGTCAGCATTTTTTGTCACATTTTTAGGCTTAAATAGGTTTCTCAATAATGAAGTTATATTTTTCACCAGTTCTTATGTTTTATTTGATCTACATGAAAGTGTATGGTAGGAACACATGGAGCGAACATTTTCCATTGATGTCGGAAAAGTGATTTGGGAACTAATTCTTTGGGAGTTTCTTATGTTTCGTGTAGTCAACACTCTTTAAAATTCCGCCTCACCCTTTCCCTTTGTTTCTGCTTCAGACAGGAGAGCCATTTTCTTCAACAGCCACAATGTTTCCAAACCAGAGTCGTCCTCAGACTTGACCTCGGTACGTCCAAAATGTCACTGAATGAAATGTCATCTCGTTTCTTTTCTAATGTCTTTGTTCTTTTCAGGGCCACAACCCTGACTTTTAAAGGCTGTGTAGCTAATGCACATTTTAATATTTGTTTCACCCAGAGAGAGAACGTGGAGGGAGTGTCTCAGCCACCCAGTGATGATGTCATCAGAGAATTGTCCAGGTCATTGCGAGAAGCACTGGGCGTGTCCCTGTTTGGCATCGATGTAATCATCAACAATCAAACAGGCCAGCACGCTGTCATTGACATCAATGCATTCCCAGGTAGGCACAGCCTCAATCTCACAGACACACACACACATAAATCATCTTCTTTAAAGTATCTGCTCATTAAGTGGAAAATAAACCTCCGATTTTACTGGGAGTTATAATGAATCCATCCTTAGAGCAGCCTTCACCTGTGTAATCCTAAACTGTTTAAGCTACAGGTTCTGCTAACTGCATTTCTGCTTTTTATTAACCACAAGAGAGCATGAAGCTTGTGCAGAAAACCTTAAACCTGCATTCTTTCTAATGGCCAGCAGGGGGCGACTTCTGTTTTTGCAAGGTGTATGGGAACACAGACCTAGGCTCTTTTGAGCTATGACCTCAGAAACCTCTTTAAGTATGAGTCTTATTTTAATGTAATATGAAGTTCAGGGTCCTTCTGGACACTAAAGGGAAAAAAATTCTTTTATGTTCCCTTTAGTGTCCAGGAGCAGCTTTATAAGAACAATTTAGGTAGAATATTGTTTATTCAGCACACAGCCAGAAGTCACTGCTTTTCTTCTTCTTAATATTGCCTTCTCTTTCCAGGTTACGAGGGCGTCCCCGAGTTTTTCAACGACCTCCTTAACCACATCAGCAGCGTGCTTCAGAGCCACAACCCTGACTTTCCTCCTGCCGGCGAACAGCCCAAAAGCCTCCCGGTGAGCACCACGGTACCCAACACTGCCCCGCCAGCCCCGGGCTGCTGCAGCATGCTGGGAAAAGAGCTGCAGAGACTGGGCTGCAACTCTATGTCACCCAACTTCCAGCAGCACTGTGTCTCCACGATAGCTACCAAGGCTTCCTCCCAGTGACTGACTTTCTTTTTTTTCTTTTATTTTCTTTCTCTCCCATCCCCTTACCTCCCTATTTGATCCCTGAACAAATAACGGATGACAGTGGTGATAATAATAATAATTAATAATCATAGTAAATATGATGTTAATGATGATAATATATCTAATCGAGACACAAACCTTTTTCCTATATAGTTATTGGAAATAATGGTGATTGGATGTAAGCTTTTCTTTTCCTCTGCCTTTTTTTCCCTCGTTTTGTCTAATGAGACTTTAACAGTACTGTAATGTGAGCTTTGGGAACTTTTGTCTAATAGCTGATTTTATTTTTCTCTCTCTTGCGTGAGGTCTCTGTGATGAAAGGGTCCAGAAGAGGTAACTAATTAGAATGGCCGAATCAGGACTGGAGAATGATGTGCCACTAGATGTGCAATGTATGATCCCTTGTATCTCTCTCACACTCACTTACACACAGGCACATTTACACTGTGGCCAACTGTGCCAGTGATGTGTGTTTGTATTCTGGTCAATACCACTGAGTGCTACGTGCAAGGGCGTAGAGAGAGGAGGCGTTTGGGCATTTGAACACTACTCCACAGATCCCAGGTTGCTATGTGACTGTGGCCAATCGACTGCAGAGAGTGATGAGATTGTTTTATTGGTTTAAACAAACAGGGGAGCAGTGTTTTGTTTTTTTTCTTTCCCGAGTGCCATTAAATATAATTTGAGTGTAGGAGGAGAAAAGAAAAAGAGCATTATTTTTCAAATCTTAAGAGGATAAAATCTCCATGACCATGTGACCAAGTTTCTTTTCGTAATGATTGTTATGGTGTGTGGGTGGGGGTGTTTTTCTGTGTGTTAGATAAACAAACTACATCCTTTTTGAGTCGCAGTTTGAGTCGCTCCAGTGCAGTAAGATGAGGATCACATTCCCATGTTATCTGTCTGTGGATGTTTTCCGAGAAATTCCATGATTTTTCAGAATTCCAGTGGGGGTTGTAGTCTCCTTAAACAGACTCCCCAAGTGTCTTCACTGCTTGTATCTGTCACGCGAGCAAACTGAGGCAAACTTGACCGACGGACAGACTTGGGGCTGCTGTATAGCTTGTCACTTGGGATTAATAAGAAAATCAGGTGTGTGTGTGTGTGTTTTTGTTTGAATACCCAACTAAAGTGAGTATTCATCTGAACAGTCTGAGATAATTGAGTTATTTGTTCAGCTTTATTAACTAAACCAACAGTCCAATCCACTCATGTGCTTCAAACCTTATTCTCTGACCTGTCTGCTGTTCCAGCTGCTGTATTTGTGTCACATTTTAAGTGAAGGGAGTAGGTGGAGGTCCAGCTGTCGTTCCCAGTGTTCACTGTGAGATTTTTTTTTTTATTTTTTTTTTAACGAGTTTGTTAAAATCTTATAATGTCCTTACATCTACTAAGAGCAACTTTATTTTGAGATTTTATGGGGGAAATGTTTTATATAAATGAAAGCAGTGATGTTTTTGAAAAAGTGGGGATTTACGTAGAGGGACGGTAAAATTCTGGGTCTTGCTGTTCAGGTGACGTGAAAGGGACAGATCAGCTGAGCGGTTGTTGCATCCCTCTAGCATCTAGTGGGAAATGAGTGCCAACCTGCAGCAAATACAGATTACTGCGTTCCTTCTCTTGTCCCAGAGAGCTCCCCTTGCTGTTTTCTTTCCTCCATCAGCATCCAAGGGAACCCACCGTCCTCTTGCTTGCCCTGTGAGCGGATATATTTGTGTCATTGCGGCCACCTCACCAGCATCTCTCTGGGACAAAAGAAGAGCGACGGCACAGTGGAAGTTGGCCTTCGCTACATGTGTAAACAACCCTTCTGAGTATCCTGGTTTTGATTTGCCTTCAGAATGTAGTGAAGCAACAATAAATTCAAAAGTACCACACCAGGTTAAAATGAGTCTAGGTGTTTCCTCACCTAGGAAGCTGTGGTCGAGTCCCTGTTTAAATTGGAAAAGGCTGAGTATCTGTGTACGCCACTATACTGTGTCCTATCTCGTGTTCTTTACTGTGCTTCTAAATGGGAAATATAAATGGTTAATCCCACTCTTGGTCATTTCTGCAACCCAGATGGTGTCATCATGCTCCCGGCTTCCACCTGAATGTGTACTTCTTGGGTGTCTTGTACAGTACGTGTATATGCGCCTATGCTTGCATCCGTACAGTATGTCGTTTTGTATCGGTTCTGTAATCGAGAAGAATCCTCAATTTTGTGACTTTTTTTAATTAAATGGCCAATTCAACAGGGCAAAATAAACATGTGAAACTACTCTGGGTGTGTTTCACTGCTTTTTTTTTTTTTTTTTCTTTAAGTTTTACAACAATCATACTCTCTGCTTATAAGAGAGTCGGAGATTTGAGTCCGCAAGGATATCTTTTTGATATAGCCATGTGCGTATGAGTGTATGGGATGGATAAAAAGCACTTCCAGTACATAAAATGTGTGAGTATAGCTTGTAGTGCGAAGTGTTTTTAGCCGTCACTAAGAGTGAAAAATGGCTCCACAAGTACAACTCCACTATTTACATCATGTAGACGACAGTTTAGTTTTATTTTTAAATAACTTATATTTAATGGTTTGCCTTCCTTCTATATAAATGAGTTGTTGACAAAAGAATAGTAATATGATCCTTGAAAGTTTACCCAAAATACACTATTTTATCTCAAAACAAAACATCCACTCTAATGACTTTCTATTACAGCAGTTTAGCTCTTAGCTCCCAAATCTATAAAGATGCTTCATTGAGCTAATCGGTGATGGGTTTGTATTATATGAAATGTCTTAACCAAATAAAACCAAAGCAGTTTCTGTGTGGTATTTTGGTCTGGAAAAATTTGAATGATGCAAGAATAACGAGTTAGTAAGAGGTCTTGGTGAATACCATTTATGTTTAACCGCTAGCAGGACTCCACGTACATCGACTGAAATAATTAGCACCACATTTCCAAAAGGAGCTCGTCTGGATGCAAATATTTGAGCACCAAAGAAATCGGTATTTACTTTTCTTCCTGTACCATGTGAATTATCAGGGCTCTAAAACTTCAGGTCCACTGATTTTAAGTGACAGACTTTACTTTGAGTAACTAACCTCATTTTTCTCCTTTAGATATAAAGAGAGGTAACTGCCAGCTAAGTTTCAGTTATATTACCATAACTATGCTTATGAATTCTCTATTACTGAAACCATAAACTGGCGTTAAGATTCAAAATTGAGGAGGGAGAGTACACACCACCCATGGTCCAGTAGGTCTTTGGTCAAACAATGATTTTAATGAATACACGCGTGGGAAGACACTCTGTACGCAGACAGCCAGTAGTCCTCGACTCAATCAAAGCATGAACAGATATTTTATAGCATCAGGGTTTGTTTACTGACGCCCCTTCATACGTCACAGACACATTTTATACATAGATCAAATCAAAACCACAACGACTTTTGACACAGTTTAAAAGAACAATTGTCTCCTATCTTCACAACAGGTGCTTCCTGTCACTGCCGGATGCTCGCAGCAGTTCTGCGACAAACTGCTCTTTGCAACATCAGCAAAACATAATTAAACTTTCACCTATAAATGATTCTCTAACTAAGTGTGTGTCTGTGTGCTAACCACAATTGCACCCTGTTTCACCTCGCGACTAGCTCCTGACCCTCACCAGACAGAGAGACAGAAACCACTCTCGTATGTGTAATAATCGAACTGAAACTATGGATATGACTTTTACTAAATAAATGTTTTAATCAAGAACCTCTACTAAACATAATAACTGTGTGCATAAGCATCTTAAGGCCTTCTTAAAGCTATCTGTTACATTGTTAAAGCAATGATCATACTGTTGCTTAAAATAACTTCCTGCTTGTGCAAACTCTCTGCAAGCCTGTTTCCTGTCAGCCTGTGACTTTTAGCCTTTCTGAAAGACACACACTGTTCAACCCCTGAATGCAATATAAACTCCAGATTATATTATTAATGCAATGGTACTGGTGACAATTATTTAACAATAGCAGTAAAATAATTTCCCTTCTCCACACTCCCTCTCTTGACCTCTGGAACACCAGAGGTCACAATACATTGTGTCCTCACGCAGACCCTCTCTGGTGGTCTCGGACCTCGAGATCTCCAGGATCCTCGCCCTCCTGTGGTCGCCGAGATCGATCTTCTGCAAAAGAAACAAAACACCTTTTCCTGCACCTCCCTAACTTATCCTATCTGGGACTCTTTAATCAAAAGCCTGATCCTAATTATCTTCTTAACTTATTGACTTGTATTTATGTATACTCTTCAACGTTACTCATCCCTTCAAAACTCTTTAAGCCCTGCTTTCACGTCCGGTTGCTCGCTCTATTTTCCCTTATCTGATCATCAACATCCTGTGCACAAATTGTCGCTGCTGCAAGTTCCTCTACTCTAAAAGAAAACACCCATTCTAATCAATTAAGTTTAAGCATATAAGCAATTACTCCTGTATACATTTCATCATAGCTAAATGCTGCCTTGAAACAATTCCTATGTGTTAACTGCATTTTAACCTCACATTTCCTATGTTATAACCCATTTTGGTATAGCCTTTATATTTCATTTTCTCCCTTTAATGTAACAATACCTTCTAATTCTAATGTATCAGACTTAACCAAAATATATGCTTTCCTTCCTCTTTGGTCCTTCTTTAAGTTCAGTTAAAAGCTAAATGAATTTAAGGCCTTTTGCCTGGAATCAATACTGTCATGTGTGTTTCTTAACTCTGTGTCTGTAAGCGTGTGCAATCCTTCATGAACTCATATTATCCTCACAGTAGATTGGCTAATCATAGCGCTAGCCAAAGGCTCGTGACCCTCCAGAGACAAATTTGAGCCACAACTCCTTTAAAAGCACAAAATGCAATATGTATAAAAATCATTTCTACCTACAAGCTCCCCCTTTATCCTAAAAATACCTTCCATGTAATATCTGTATGTGTAAGCCTACATTATAACCACTACTTCTAAAGATCAAAAAATCAAACCTGTTCTACTCCTTCAACCCTCACTAATTTTCCCTCTAAGATTTATTCACAGCTTTGAAAAACCAGCATTGTATCTTCTAAACAGGATTCAGTTCTGTCATGGTCCTGGGCCATGTTGGCCCAGTATTCTTGGTTCCTTGTATTTTCGCTCCTTATTTAGGCCACGTTTTCTGAGGTCTCCTATTGTGGATATTCCCTAATTTTTTTTCCCTTTCTGACTCTTACCCCTTGTGCCCCTCTGTCTATTTATGAGCTCTCGTCTCTCTTTGTGTTCATTCCATGTTTCCCCCAGCCTGTTATGTCTGTGTTCTCCCCGTGCTTTCTCTCCTCCTGTCTGAACCTCTGTGTACTTCCCGTTTTACTTTGACAGTCTCTCGTCCGTATGCGTAATTTTGTGTTCACTCCTGCCCTGTCTCGTTATGTTTATCAGTGTCCCCTGTGTTCCCACCTGTGTGTAATCTCCCTGTGTTCTCTGGGTGTATTTAAGTTGTGTCTTCTGTTATGGTAGTTGCTGGTTCGTCTGTGTTGTTTCCCCTCGGTCTCCCTGCGTCTCTTGTGTATTCCCCCGGACCTCCCTGCATCCTCGTTTCTGGTTTGTGTTATTAGCTTACCCAATTCAGGTTTCCGGTTTCTTATTTTTCCACCAGTGCTGTTTTGTGCCCACCGTTGTAAATAAATATTCACCTGCACCAGAGCTGCCGCCTTTTGGGTCCTTTTCTACAACTCCACACGGCTTGCCTCGCAAATCGTGACAAGTTCACCTTTAATCCTTTAACCTTAACTTAAAAATAACAGTTTCAGTTTTACCATATCCAAATGATCAAAAACCCAAAAGGTCCTAAAATGATCCTAAATTATTAAACAATTAAATTATTAAACCCTAACCCCCCTTTATCTTGATACATTTCATGTGTCAAGATACTATACAAAACTTAAAATGCTCAGTTTTCCCCACTCATGATCCAATGTATGTCATAAAATAAACTTAAAACAGAACAGTTATCAGTCATGTGTTTCTACAATTAATGGTAACTGAGTTACATCAAAAAATATTTCCCCTTTAACATTTGGCATTCTCCCAACAATATACTATAATCCCATAATCTAACCCCAGTCAACAAAACAAAACAGAAATTTTCTCTGGTAAAAACGAATTGTTTATCCACATTTATTCATCCTCACTCACATTCAGTCACACATTCACTCACATGCAGTCACACATTCACTCACATCCAGTCACACCATGTATTTGCTGATAGTGGAGCTTCCCGCACGATCAGATACTCCACCCTCAGCAAAATGAGCTCAGTCATTTTTTATTTTCCATAGGAAAATATATCTTTATGCTTTTGGACTGGATTGACTCGCGTAAAATCCTTTTTACGGGGACTTACGACCTTGATCAGTCCCCACAGGTAGCTCTCCTCAGCCAATTGTAATCTGGAAAGCCGCCTTATATTTGCTCTTCCCGAGAATTTTCAGCGCCGTTATTCACTGTTGCAGGCCTGCTTAAAACAGAAATGAAAAAATAGAGCTGATTGTTAGCTCATAAAAACAAAATCACCTGACAGGTTTTCTTTAAGTGCACTGTTACAAAATAATGGGCCCAATTTTTAGACATGTCCATGTTTCCTAAAACTCCCTCTATTAAAACAAAAATAACAACAACAACCTACCTGACAGAATCAACCCATCACCACAACAACCTTAAACACACAAGTCTTGCCACCACATAATTTCACCTCCTCAATACACCAAAAGTCCCATTAAACCCACACAATTTGCACACAAAAATCACCCCCTTATGCTCTATAACATACTTCAATTCAGCATAAAACATAACTCCCTTTGTCATATGGCTTCTTCTATTCCTCAATTACAAACTCAAATGTATTTTATTAAACATTCACACCATTGTATCATTCATACAAAATAGCAAGCTGTTCTTCATTGCATATGTTTGTGTTCTTAGCCAGGTTTAATCTCTATCTCTGCATTAAACTCCATGAGCTTGTCATGTCTTTATAAGTTTAATGCATTTCCTGTTTGTGTATGTGAATTTGCATATGGTGCTTTTGCAGTGTGTCAGACTCCTTCATAATTTTGCCTTTAAACAGTCAATTTTCTCCTCCCCAAATTTACTAACCCAAATTCTGATTTCCTACCTTAAATAGCAGCATTCCTTGTCCTCAGCCAGAAGGTAGGGCTCCACTTGCCACTTTCCACCTCCACCTTAGCCCAGCGGCTTTACCCTTGAGGTCCCATCCTCTTCACTTCATCTCACCAGTGAGCCGGAGCTCACCGGGACTGAGTGAGGCGAATAATCGTGACTGTGCCTGCCTTAGGTTGTCCCAGGGTTTCGAGGTGGGATCTTACCCGTCATGGGCTATCCAGCCTTCCATACTCGCCTGATACGGGGCCCAAGTGGGCAGGGGAGGGAACACACTGGCTCTGGGAATTAAAGGAGTGTAAGCGGCTTCCTTCATTGCATCTTATATTAAACTATCTCACTTCTGACTCCTTCCTAGAATAATTTCACATATGGCACTTTGTGTATGTGTGTTTTCTATTCATTAATGTAATTGTCAGTTATTTTCTCTCCCGGTCAGGGAACCACATTATTTTCTCTCTTCATTTTACCTTCTTTATCTGTTTGTTTGTAACGTTCTACTTTAGTTCTACTAAACTTTGATGTAAAAACAATACTCCTTTATTTCACGCACACACTCTGCATTTTGCCTACGCACACACTTCTCTCTCAGACTTCCTCTGTTCACACATCACCTTGCACTCACTCTACTATCAACTTTCATAGTGTTATTATTATTCAGTATTTTGTACACCTCACACAGAATCATTCAAATCGAGTACTCACAGCATTCACATCACAACCTTCAACTTTCACTTTCGATCCTGCAAGACGCAGAGATGGACATCTCCTTCACCTAACATAAAACTAAATTACCATATCAACATACAATTACTGAAATTCAAACTCAAATACACCGTCTGTTTTAATAAAGTCAAAGAGTAAACAGGTGTACCAAGTGTATGTACTTATGTGTTTTAAACTGAAAGAAAAAGAAACTCAAACTCTTATAACATCACTCATGCCTCTCTCAAATTAAAAACACTTTCAAACTTTAAAACCTCCTACTTTACATCACCAAAGAAATACCTCTCACACCTTTATTCATCATGTCAAAGCTTTCTCCATTTTGCACAGCCTGCCACATGTTTAACAAAAAAAATCGCTGCCCGAGAAGGCTCCCACATATCAAGGTGGTCGTTCTCACAAATTTCCAGCAGACCCTCAAATAAACAAAAACAACGACCCAGTCAGGCTTCCAGTTCAGCCTCCTCAATTTCTATGCACACCGAAAACTCATGGGGAGATTCTTCTGTCTCCCCGTGTCCTACACAATTCACCTCCAAATGATCCCCCACAATTGAAATTTCAGTGTGGAATGACGCAGAGATTAACATTCCCTTATTTATTTACTATATGTAACCTGAATTTTTCTCTCTCTTATCAAATAACAAAGGTTATCTTTAAAATTTGTTATTGAACTACTAATTAAGTTGCTTTTTATGGTATCAATGGTAAACTACCCCTAAAAAGTCCACTTCATTGCGTGTTCATTGAGATACTTCTATTAAGGCTATTTAACAAGTTCAATTTACACATATTCATTAATCTGTCACGCTTATTAGTGGCTCATGGTTACTTAAAACCTATGTCTGACTTGACCACAGAGTTAGAGTATCATTCAATCCTCTCAGGATGACCACTCCACTTACTCTGCATCCAGTCAGCTCATGAATTAACAACACTTGCAGACTGTAACCCTTTTATTTTTTGTTTATGCCTTCAAATCCACCTTAAATCTTCTTACCTAAACGTTGGTTTTAAACACAAACAATTCTTATATTCTATTTTGAAACGCTGTCACCATTCATATATTTACAATGTTATTATTTACTAAGCCAGCATTTTAATCGCAGACATTTATCCACATTTGCAAACAATAGTTATAGGACTGAATAATCCTCTCATGCGCTCTGCATCAGCTGCCTCATTTGCATGCACACACACTCTTCATCTAAGAATAGCAGCAGGAAGTCAGTGCATTGCTGACTCGACCCACAGAGATCTTTTTTTATTACAGAGACGTCTTATATTTACAACTGCGCAGATTTTAAACCTTTTAACACCTATCGAATTTCGACAAATTTAACATAACAGTCTAACCGATAAACTCCCTGAGTTTTTTGCGATCAATTAACCAGTATCAAGACTTTAACTGTTTCTGGCCTCATTTCTAAAATCCCTAACTCAATTTAAAAGTGTCCAACACCCAAGGTCCAACCTTTGCTGCCCAAAAAAGCGCAGATACCGTTCCAAACGGTAAGGAGACTCTAACTCCTAGCTATTTTGGAGGTTCCCAAGTTCTCCCCGGTTGCCAACCGTACTAACCCTATTCGCCGATAGGTCAGGGCCAAGCGTCCTCGGCCGGGAGGGAGCATTACCTCCGAGAACTGCGCTTCCTAGCAGACTCTAACTGCCGTTCTAGAATAATTTATAATACTTTGAAATAACAATCAACACCCGAAACAAGTGTATAACTGAGGCAGGTGCAACCTAGTGATCAAATGGAGACTCCAACTCACAAAATGACCGCTCAGGTCCACTCTTATGACCAAATTTGGACTCTAACCAACACAATAACCAATTCCCTACCAACTACTTGAGACTCTAACTCAATTTCTTTGGGACTTCAACCCAGTATTTAAACTTTTCCTGGCAGACTCTAACTGCTTTAGCAGACTTTACTGCTTTCATTTCTTCTTTCTTCTTAGCAGAACTCTAACTGCATCAACTCATGAGATTTTCATCAAAATCAAAACAGACATCCACCAGTAACTTCAGTGAGTAGACTTAAATTTTATCATATCCAATTTGGCACACTTTGGAAATAATTCAACAGGTAGTGCCTTACCTTTTGGATAAGCCGGCTTATGCCCACTCACTTCGACCACTGGAATTCATGTCTGCCCGTCAGACCACCTCAGAGACCACCAAATTTCTCCATCTAAACCTCCAATTCTCCCTCCTCAACCACCGGACGAAGCCCCCAAATGTTAAGGTTCAAAATTGAGGAGGGAGAGTACACACCACCCATGGTCCAGTAGGTCTTTGGTCAAACAATGATTTTAATGAACACACGTGTGGGAAGACACTCTGTACGCAGACAGCCAGTAGTCCTCGACTTAATCAAAGCATGAACAGATATTTTATAGCATCAGGGTTTGTTTACTGACGCCCCTTCATACGTCACAGACACATTTTATACATAGATCAAATCAAAACCACAACGACTTTTGACACAGTTTAAAAGAACAATTGTCTCCTATCTTCACAACAGGTGCTTCCTGTCACTGCCGGATGCTCGCAGCAGTTCTGCGACAAACTGCTCTTGTTGCAACCCCAGCAAAACATGATTAAACTTTCACCTATAAATGATTCTCTAACTAAGTGTGTGTCTGTGTGCTAACCACAATTGCACCCTGTTTCACCTCGCGACTAGCTCCTGACCCCTCACCAGACAGAGAGACAGAAACCACTCTCGTATGTGTAATAATCGAACTGAAACTATGGATATGACTTTTACTAAATAAATGTTTTAATCAAGAACCTCTACTAAACATAATAACTGTGTGCATAAGCATCTTAAGGCCTTCTTAAAGCTATCTGTTACATTGTTAAAGCAATGATCATACTGTTGCTTAAAATAACTTCCTGCTTGTGCAAACTCTCTGCAAGCCTGTTTCCTGTCAGCCTGTGACTTTTAGCCTTTCTGAAAGACACACACTGTTCAACCCCTGAATGCAATATAAACTCCAGATTATATTATTAATGCAATGGTACTGATGACAATTATTTAACAATAGCAGTAAAATAATTTCCCTTCTCCACACTGGCTATAAATACTTTAATTTCTTTTCTACACAGTTCTGTCATAATACGGAGTGCAAAGAGAAGACTGCAAAAGAAAGTGCAGCGATCCTCCACCCGGCCTCCAGATGTTTTATTGTTTCAGCGTGTATCGGTCGCACATTTCATAGTAGTAGGAAACGGTAAAAAAAACAAGACACACAAACACTAAGTTTTCCAACAGGGCTAATGTAGACACTATACAAAATAGCTGCTTATTAAAATAAAAATATATCTTTTCATAATCTCAGTCTTCTGTACATGTAAAAACAACACAAATAGAAGATATTTACAAGAAGAGAAATGACGGTTTCTAATGCTACTTCCAGCTTTTTGACAGGCCTCTATACACAAGGTGTTAATGGGACTGCAGGTGACGCGCTGCCGGGCTCGCCAACAGGCCGAGAATGGTCGAGAGACAGTGAAGCTTTTCCTTAACGTGCTCGGGCAACTTCTCGTTCTCCTTATACCTGCAGAGAACACACCACTTCTTACTTTTTGTGCCATACAAATACACTGCAGCTTCTTCTGTGTGGAAAGCTGGCCAAAGATCCAGCAAATAACAAGCTCTGTATTTTTATTCTCGGGCTACTTTGTCCTCCACTCTGCGTCTGTTACAGCACTCAGTTCATCAACTGTGTGAAACAAGCCCTTCAGCTCCATTTCCATTATCTTTAAGAAAACTTTCTTCTGATTGGCTGCCACATGCAAACAAAAGATGTGAACAGCAGGTGGATGGGGCTTCTGAAATGGCCATATTAAAAACTTCTACTCTCACAAAAGTTTTTAAAACAGCTCTTAAAGGGAACACAGAAGACATTTCTAATGTATTTCATACCTGGTGATCTTCCCTTCTGGACACGTGTAGGTGATGCAGGAAACTCCTGCCTGAACCACCAGCTGAGAACCATCGTTGAACTGCACCCAAACCTCTCCACTCGTCAGCTACAGATACAAACAAACAAGGATTTGGTTTTTGTCAAAGTGTCAATTCACATTCCCAGTCTTAAAATATTAATTAGTCATCTATTACCTGGGACGCCCATCCAACATTTGGCACAAATATCGACTTGACCACCTTTCCTGTGCTCTGGATGAGGTCCTGTCGCACTGGGGAGCTTTTCTTACTCAGGCTGGCTGTGGTGAAGTCAGACCCATCGTAGGAAATCATCTAGAAATAAATCAGTAAAAATCAAATGCAGATCTCATCACGGCCTGCACACCCACACATGACTCCAGGTGCTGTTTTTATGTTTTGATTTTTTCACTATTAGTCTTCTGGTTGTACTGTGGAAAGAATCCGTCTGCCTGAAACCAGTGAACACTGCATACACGACATGTTTTTGCCTGAGACGTCTCAGCGTCTGGCGTGGAAATCCACATTATTCTTCATTTTATCCTGTAATGTCAGAACTTACCGAAGGAGTGATTTGTGGAGGTTTAGGAGGTGATGCTGTATCTGGAGGAACCGGGTGCGAGGGCGCAGACGATGAGCCTGGAGCGTCTGAGCTGACGGGTCTCCTGGGAAGTAAAAGAAAACAAACATTTGTCACGCAAGACGAGAAATATAACAGAAAAAAAAAGAAAGAAAGGAAAGCTGTCACGAGGTGGCCAGAATTTTCCTGTCACCTGCCAATCATTATGGGGAAGAAAGGGACGTCCTTGGTGCTGCGCTGCTCCTCTGCAGTGATGGCGGCCTCGAGAGATAAACACATGGCGTGGCCCTCGTCCGACAGCTCCACATACCTCCGGCACTCGGGGCTCAGGCCGCTCAGCCCCGCCTCGCCCTTCACAGTGTACGACTTCCCGCTCTTCTCCACCACTCGCACAAGTTCGGACGTCTTGTGGGTCTTTGCGCCTGCACGATGCAGTTATTACACGTTAATTTAGACTCATCAGCTCAGCCATCTCATTACTGACGTTCAGCAAACACCTCGGACTCACCATCATAAAAGCAAACTTCCAGGTCCGCGTTAGGAGAGTTCTCCATCAGCATGACCTTGGCATACTTGGTGTAAAGGGTCACTTTAGGAGTCTTGGATTTAACAAGCTGAACAAACTTGGAGGCATACTGGTACTTTTTCCAGTATTTCTCTGTGACAAAAAAAAGAAAGAAAAAAAAAAAAGCTCAATTACAATTTTATTTCACTTTTTTTTTTTTTTTTTTAAATCTGATATTAATGGGTGGGATGCATCCGTCAGAATACCTGGAAGATCCTCGTAGCTACAAATGAGAATATCTTCTGGAGGAGCTGGCGGGCAGTCCAGCACAGGAAAACCTTTTCCACCATTAGGCTGGTATATCGTCACCTACAGCAGATGGTCATAATAAGCCACAACTTACAAGACTGAAGATTTTTTTCAAACATGGAAAGATTTATTAAGTAACTGCATGATAAATGCTGATTGCCCTACAGAAACTGTACCATTGAGCCATCACAGGAAATCCGGAGGACTTCTTTGACTCTTTCTTGACCACTCTGACATTTTAACAGCTCCATACAAACTTCACCCGTGTCCAAAATGCTCACCTGGATAGAAGACAAGAAAAAAGATGAGATATCTAAAAATATATCCACTGTTCACACATAGAAATTTTAAAAAAAAAAGGAAAAAAAAAAAAGATTAAAATCTTACAACAGCATTTTTGGTCTTCTGTCTGATCGGCTTCAGTCGGGAGGCGCACAGAGGCGGGATTACGTCTCTCAGCGTTTTCTTCGGCTTATCTGTACTGGGTTTGGTTGAAGAGAGCTTTAACTCTCTGTCAGGAGGAGGTTGGAACTCTAATCCAGGGATGTTCTCCCTGTATGAGTCGGAGTTGGAAAGAAGCTGGTGGTGCAGGTTGGGGTGAAGGTTCGCGCCTCGGCTCATGGGCTTATCTGACCAGGAGTTGTGAACACCTAAAGGTCCTCTACTGCTGTGGGCGCTGCTATCTGCGGACCTCTGTCCAGAGGCTGAGAAAGAAAGCAAAACTTTTGGAAAACTTTGTAGTCATGATTAAAACAACCAAAAGAGCACAAAAGTGTTATTTTACCTTCAGTGTTGAGCCAATTAGAAACTCCCTCTAAGTCCTGAAATTGCAAATTTGGTGGAAGTGCGGTCTCTGTGGAAAAATACCCAGAACTGAAATAGAGAGTGTCATCTGTTAGTCTCAATAACCTGAGAGAAAAAAAGATTATCAACAGACTGACTGCTTACTTTGCTGGCTGCTTGACAGGTGGAGATGGGAGTCTTCCGTGCTCTGAAAACGGGTGTGGAGTGGAGGACACGGGGAAGACTGGGCGTCCTATACCAGCCAGAGTCTCCTCTGAGTGGCATCGCCCCAGCTCAGCATGAGTTGAACCTGTTGAAGTGGACATGGGACGGTCTGAAGAGTGAGCCCTCCTCAGGTAGCGAGAATGAGGCTCTCCGCTTTCTACACCATGAGCCGCCCTGCTCCTGCCCTCTCTGTTGAACCTTTCCAGCGGATGCTGCTGCTGCCACTGGTCTCCATCCTCAAAACAGGCACTGTTGGGCTGGCGTGGAAGGCTTGGGATGGGTGCCATGCGATTAGGCAGAGCAGAGCCTATCATGTGCTTGGTTCGCTTCTGGAGGCGACTGCCGCTGCTGGCAGAGGTGGAGGAGGTGTAGGCTGTGGAGATGGTGGCAATGCCACTGTCAATGGACCCGTCATCCCCAAGCCCCAGCTCTTTGGTCCTGACCAGCAGGCTCTGGGTCATGAATGGGTGGTCCAGTACTGCAGAGAGGCTGGGTCGCTGGGCGGGGTCTTTCTGCAGCAGCTGATAAATTAGGTCCTGAGCCTCCAGAGAAACATGGGTAGGCATCTCATAGTCCCCGAGAACCACTTTGGACAAAGTGTGCTTGACCGTGTCTGTGTCAAATGGAGGGCGACCCATCAGGAAAGCATAGAACATGCATCCCAGTGACCAAACATCTGATTCCAGCCCGTGGGCGCTGCGAGTGGCCACCTCTGGGGAGATGTAGTTTGGTGTGCCACACATGGTGAAGTGCTTTTCATTTGGGAGTTTGAGCTGAGTGGCCAGGCCAAAGTCTGCTATCTTAATGTTCATGTTGCTGGTCAGCAGAAGATTGGACAAAGTCAGGTCTCTGTGCAAGATCCCATGAGTATGTAAATAAAGCATCCCTTTCACTGTTTGGTCCATGAAATGTCTCGCTGTGGGGCGAAAATAAAGTTGTTGTTGGGGTTTGTTTTTGGGGTTTTTTACAGTAGTAGCAACTCACAAAGCTGACAACACAACTCATATTTAGGCTTCTAAACAAAAACACATGTGCCTGACCTTCATCTTCAGAGAAAGGCATCTTTCGCTCTTTGAGGTACCGACTCATCTCTCCATTGTGGCACATCTCCAACACTAAATACACATAGTTGCTGTCCTCAAAGTAGTTGTAAAGCTTTTACAAAAACAAAAGACATAACAATATGATTCATTTACCATCGTCTCAAAATATGGAAACATTGAGAAAGAACAAAATATAGAATATATCTGACTGGATTTTAAAATGATTGTACTACTGTGGTCCTGAAAACTGTGTCAGTGGGACCACCACTGCCTGCTTTCCTGGTTAATCTTTAAAGCTGAAGATTAGCCAGACTACTGATTAAGTGAAGTGGAAACAAATCGGTGGCGCGCCTACACAAAGTACTATCAAGGACGCCCTGTATAACCATGACAACAATACAGAAAGCTGATATATGCATCATCAAACACAACAGTCCCACAAAGACACAGGAATCCCTACAGCTACAGCACTGGTGTTAACTTTAACTGTAAATCTCACACTAAGCAAGCATTCACACGTTTCAAATTATTAAAGTGCATCATTAAACTGTGTGTGATGCATAAAAAAACAGAAAATGTATATTGTATAGATACACTACAGGAGAAGGCAAATTTAAATAAACAGCAGGGTTGGTGTTGTGTATCAAGCACTTCATGGCAAGAAATCATCTGTGGCTTGTCAGCGTTACCTCCAGTATGGAAGGATGCTTCAGTCGGCAGTGAATCTCCACCTCGTTCCTCACACGTTGGACCATGCCGGCTTTGTGCATTGCTTTTTTGTCAATCTGCAGATGGGAACAACAGAGATAATTATATGCCTGCCACTCATCGGCTCAGCGTGGCATGTTGTACAGTTTGGTTTGATCCTAATAATCAGTTTCCCACCCACAATGGCAACGAAACACTGAGAGCTCATCTGTGGGGCGGGTCAAGAGACCACAAGAACCCCACGGGAGGCAACATATGTCATAACCCAGTAGTTCCAAGTTTACAATTTTACAGCATCACTGATAAAGATGTAGATTATCTCACCGTTTTGATGGCAACCTCCAGACCAGTCTTCACCGATTTGGCCCGGTAAACACACGCAAAGGAGCCCTTCCCGAGCAGAGTGAGGACCTTGAAGTCCTGCGTGCACAAAAAGAGAAGTTGTACAAACAACGCATCTGCAGGAAAATGTGAGCATGATTTCATTTTTAAGTTTAAATCCCACGGGAAGCGAGAGCTTTAAAAGCAAACACCTCGATCCTCGACTCCTGATCATAACAAAAACCTCCTTTCTCATCTCTGCTAGCATGGGAGTCAGCAGTCAGGTTGTTAAAGCCATGGCGAAGAACTTGGTCAAACATCCTTCCCGTAACCTGCGACCTGCTGGATTGTTCTCTACAACCACCAACGACTCCACACGGGAGAAATCCACCCACAACAAACGTTAACTGTCAAACAAGCCACTAACACCTGACGCCGTCATATGGCCAACCAAAACCTTTAATTATCCCGGGTCTCTTCCCGCTAATGAGGACCCACTTGTAGCCGTTTCCAAGCAGCATGACGGGTCCCAAACTGACGCGACACAACAATGTCTGTCCTGGGGGAGCATGGTTACACACCCGCAGAGACGATGTTGACATTTTCTACTACATTAACTACTACTAGTACTACTAAATAATAATAACAACAATAATAATAAGTAGAAGAAGAATACATTTAGGCAATCGTAAAGAGCGATATCTTTACGACACGTGAAACAAGCTAAAAACGAAAAACTGAACTATCGCCTTAGTAATTGATGTTAAGTAGTATAATATTTAGCTATGACTAAATAAAAGTTTAACATATCCCCATTATATTAAGCAAACAGTGTTTTTTTTTCCTTCTCAGTGCGATATTGTTTAGCTAACTTGTAACTCCAGCCTTTGACTTGACACGAGAACAAGCCATCAGTCCGAGTGGACGCTAGCTTGTGGGCGTTAGCCCAACAAAAGCACTCACCTCAATTTTATCTCCGATCGAAACACTCATCGTGGCGGCTTTTCGCCTCGCAGACGCGTGCAGGTTTGTAATAATGTTCCCCGATAGGCAGAGTGCATGGATAGCCGCTACAGGAGTCCTCACACGACAAATAAATGTTGTTCTCGCGTTCCCCTCCAAAACTTTGCCATATCTTCCATTTTGAAAATATCCGCCCGTTACTCCGTGGCTACGTCACACCCCGCGTCACTTGACAACATTAAGCTTTGTCACGCCTCCTCCAAGCGCCCCGAGTTACATGAAGCTTCAATGATCTACATTTAATTTAATATCAGTGGTCGTCCAGACACAGGAACTGCATATATGGAATCAGCTACTACTTTTAAAATTATAAATTTAAATGATACGTGTATTATTAAAGAAAATGTTATCTAATCGTGAATTAATCCAGTAACTTTCTTTTAATTTTTTAAATCAGCTTTAATCACAGGACTCGACCTCTCATTTGTCTTGGTTTGCTGACAAAGAAAGTTTGTTTTAAAACAAAAATGGAGAACCATAATGTGCAGTAAAGGCAAAACATTCCTCACAGTAAGAGGATCCTGGGCTTAAAGTAACCTGAGGTAGTTTCTCCCTGGACTCATGTTCACTCTGCGGGATCTGGTTTCTTAGGCCATCTATAAACATTACAGGTTAATGCATGTTTAAGAGTAAATGACTGCTACAAATGACTTTCAATATATATATATATTGAAACTTTCCATATCACATCTGAAAACATAAGTACAGCACAGATGGCCACTTTCTTCTGAAAATCAATCATTTCACACGTACAAATTAGTCTTGCAGACAAATGCGTTTATTTTTTCCCCCACCTTCAATTAAATATGGAAAAATGCAAGAAAAAAAAAAAAAGGAAATAGGCAACCAACCACTAAAGGAAACTTGGTATATGAGCATTTCCATTGTAACACTAGAATGTGTTCTCTATGTACATGTCTATGCTGGCTGCTTTTGTTTACTAAAATAATATTTACAGTTTGTAGACACGGACATATCTCTTCGAACTCGTTGAATACAAATATAATTTGTATTATTGTATACTAACTAAAAGGTTTGCACTAGCAGTGGCATGGACAGCACTGTCTATTTCTCTTATGGGTGATATTGGACACTTAAGAGACACGTGGAATGCAAAACACAAAGCGTACCTTCCTGTGAGATACGAAGGAATCGGTTTTACGACAGACTCATATTTTCATCTATTGTGGCATTCTTTAATTTTTTTAGTATGGCAAACCTTTGAGAGACTAAAGCACACCAGTGTCACACGTAAGGATGAAAACAAAAAACCTCAAATGGTAAAATCCAATGGGAGAGGACACAAAAAAAACAGATCCACATAAGTGGTTGATGAGGACTGAGAAATGTTCCCAGGTGTTGATTTTTCTGCGCCTGTCTAGATGCCGTGTGACGGTAAACGCGTTGATGGTTGCGGAGTCTGCGCGTCGGACACAGATCTCAGTCCACCTCCATCTCTTTTGTGCCCGGCTTCGTCTGCTGGCTCCCCTTTGCTTCCCTCTTTCCTTCCGCTCCTCCCTGCTTAGCCGTCGGGCCGTTGTGAGCTCCGCTGGTTTGGTCATTCACCTCGGGGGCCTCCTCCACTGTGGGCTTTGGCCTGTTGATCACTGGATTACATATGTCCTCCAGCTCCTGGAGAAGAAGCAAGCAAAGGAGAATCAGAAGATGTCATTCTCACTAAAGGAAGAAGATTATTAGATCTTAAAAAGCGGATCACACACCTGGATTTTAGCGATCATGTCTGCTACTTTGACAGCTGGGTCTTGAGTTAAAGCAAGTTTACTCTGCGCATTCATCTTGCTGTTCATCCAGCCCATGCTTTCAGTCACACACTTCTCCACAGTGCTCATTTCCTCTGCACTCAAATGAAGGAATCGCTCGTCCTGGGAAAGAGTTTTTGACGAAGAAAACCTTTAGCAGGTCTAAAATGTATCTCTTTTAAAACAAAGTCATCCTATTATATTTTTCCCATAACAAAATACACTTTAAACTATATAAGCTAAAATACGAAAATAATTTAAACACTTAGAATACAAGATCAAGGATATAAACATAGTAAGACACCATCAACATATTCTCTAAGTAAAATATAAAAATAAATGGTTATTTTGTCACATACCTCAAGTATCAGTTACAGACTGTATTTCTTATAAGTGTCAAGTCATCTATGTGTACATGTCTTATCACGCTTCCTGTTCGCATAACACAGTATTTGTAACGCACTGCACAAAACATGCAGTTCCAAACACAAATCCTACTTCTGTCTTTTTCCTGTAAAGGAGTAATGGAAGAACATCACAGTCAGAAGAGGGCTTACCTTCTGTTTGTAGGAATCTACAAACTTCATGTAGAGTTGCAGTTTCTTTCCCAGTTCCTCAAATGCTCTCGGCCTGTCCTCATGCTCCCTGTGCCGGTCCTGAATGGGCTGGCCCAACCTCTGGAGAATAAAAAAAATTTGCGTTAACATTGAAAGCTACTACCACTTTAAAATATTCTTACATCTTTACTCTTTATTCAACGTAACTTTTAGAAAGTTCCAAATCACAGCATAAATTACAATCTATAAGATTATATAATGAATGAATGAAACATGAACATAAAGCAACAATTCTGGGTAAAGTGCCACTGAGATTTATAAAATCAAAGGTTTATTTAAGCAAGTAATCATTAAGGAAAATATGCGTGCTAAGTAGTAGCTGTGGCTCAGGAGATATAGCAGGTCATCTACTAATCATAAGGCTGGTGGTTGTATGAATGGGTGAATGAGACATGTTGTATGAGCGAGTGCTCAAGCAGAGTAGCAAAGCGCTATATTAGAACCGGTTTATTTACTTATGTAACAAAATGGAAAATTTACATCGAATCAAATTACTAAAAGTTAGCATTTGGGGCATAAATATTTTTTTGTATGCAGTAGTCTGCAAAATCTTTCTTGTAATAAATGTAAACATACCATAAGTGCATCTAGCTTCTCCTCATAGACTTGTTTGGGTTGGTCTTCCCCATCCTCATAGAGCCACTTCTCTGTGTCCTCCAGCATCAGCGTCAGCCGGTTGCTGTCCTGTTATTAACAAACATGAAATGTTTATACAGATCAGTTCTTCATACATCGTCTCAGATATAATAGTCGTTTACTGCAACATGGGGGCTGCTATAATAGATGCAAAAAGTACTACTTACCCCCTCAGTGATGTACTTTTCATAAATCCCACAAAGTTTGTCCCGCAGATCATACACATACTCCTCCACAGCATTCTTTGCGTCGTTCAGCTCTTTCACAAGTTTGTCCTGGATAATCATCTGACGCTATGATGAAAAAATTAAAATGAATGAATAAAAATAAAAAAAGTTACGGATGATTCAACCAAGGCGTGCCATACGATATTACAGTATGACATTTCTGAATAAAACCTGTGCTTGTCCCGATTTCTGCCATAAATATATTACAACAGTAGATGTTCATACATAGATATAAAATTCCTTGTATCAGAGCATGACTCGGCTTTTTCTAAAGGCCACCTGCAACACTCACCTCATACTCCACAAAGTTAGAAAGGACGTCACTGTCAAGCTGTCGAATGTTGTTGATCACAATGGGAAGATCGATACTCTTCACCTTGACTTTGGGCTTGCTTCCTCCTGCTGCTGGGTCCTGCTTCTCACCAGCTGCTCCCTCCTAAATTTGGAAACCAGAGAACACAATGAGGCCTTTTTGGATTTCCAAACATGGGGCACCTTGCCAAAATAATCATCTATTTTTTTTTTTTAGACTAATTAATACTGCATGAGTCCATCTAATTGTAGCACAGATGCATCAATGAGCAGCGCTGACATGAATTCAGCAGCTCGCATACAGAATCTGTGACAATACATGAATTACTTAATACTTAATTTAATTGAAAGCATGTCTCAACAATATCAGTATCAGGGTTCTGCTTGTCTTATTATCAATACAGTCTGATATGAGCAAGAACAAACAAGAAAAACATGCAGTTTTAAAGCATCCTTAAATCGCAGCCTGACTAACCTTACTGCTGGAACTGGCATCCTCATTCTGCGGCTCCCCTTGGGTTTGGCCTTCCTGATCCACCTGCATTTTGATCTGAGACACATACATAATTATTTTAACGAAGATTTAAGTCAGGTGTCACAGCATTAGATATTTTTCATTGCATATAAAAGATCAATTAATGATAGTATCTTTCAAAAAACTACAAAAAAGCTGATTTTTAAGTGGCGGAAATCCACTGATAAACAATAAGGAACATAAATTTTATGAGAATAGTACCCATTCTATCCAATAGCTGTTGTGCTTTAACTCTGAACGGCTCAAAGAAACTGACCAGCTGACATCTGTGGCATCACAAGAGTGACTGTGGCAACAATAATCCTACCTGCTCCTCTGCTCTGCTCTCATTCTGCACCACTGGCTCTGTATCAGTTTGCATGTCCTCGCCCTCTCCTTTCTGCTTCTCAATCAGAGAAGCGCCGGACACGCTGAAGATGCCGTGGATGTTGACGCGCACTTTGACTTTCACTTTAGAGCTGTCACCATCTGGCTGGGGAACCACATTCTGTACTGAAAAAAAGCCTGGAAGCAGATGGAAAGAAAAGGAGCGGCTTCTTTAATACGACCTCAACATGTTCTTGTGACAGGAAACTGGCAGTTGCATAGAAAAAAAAAAGATATCCCACTTGAAAAAACACACCCACCCACCACATGGTGATACACATACAGTACAGATAATTATGATGTTCGGCTGAGTCACACGAGAACCTGCTTCCCTTACTCCTAATTGCCATCCAATTTGTTGGGCCAGCTACTTAGCGCACCTACATTAGCCGCCTCTTTCTGCATACTTGTGCAGCTGGTTAAAGGAACCTGATACATGCATACATGCAATGTCTATGTAAAACCAAGTAAGGACTGATCACTTTGATGCTAATAGAGCAGAATTAGCACCATTACCTATCCTGTGGTCGGAGTAGGGCAGTTCTTGAGGGTTGCTGTAAAAGGCTTCAAGGTCGAAGGGTTCCCTCTTGTGGAAGGTAATCACTTTGGAAAAAGGAGCAGCATGATTCTTACTGAACACCTCGCACTCTCTGTAGCACAAATTAGCCAAAAAAAAAGCAAAGTC